AAGAGCCAATAGTGCGAAGAGTTTGGCCGGCATATGAGGAGATTGTGTGCAAGAACATCTTGCGATCCGCATCAGTAAGCTCGACGGTGCTCAACTCGTCCTCGTTCGGGTTCGCAATAACCGTGTTGCACTGCTTTAGGAGAATCTCGGAGGCACCCTTGACGTATGTGCGAAACTTTCCATTAGGAAGTTTGACGACGGTAGCCATCAACTTGTACTTCGAATCGAAGGGAACGACCTGGACCACATCAGCATTCTTGCGCTCCTCCTCCACTGGCGCAGCCCCGAGATTATCACGGCAGAACGTAAGCAGAGCCACCTCAGTTTTCGAACCGATAAACGTCTTCTCTCCATCCTCATCGCCCTCAAACGCGGTTGAGTTGACGGCATTGGCCTGATTAAGAAGCTTCTTGGTTGTCTGGCTGAGTTCCTTGGTGAAATCTGCGACAGGCATGTTGGGAACAATATTTTCCATCTCGACCTCGGTGCTGTTCTTCTCCTTCTCAGAGTCAGGTTCCTCCAGCGGTTTATCCGTGCCACCAAAGCTGAGGCTCTTGCCGAGAGTGGTGGCAACCACCGTCATTTTGTTTTGAGTTAGGGTTCCAGTCTTGTCGGAACATACCGTTGTCGCGTTACCCATGGTTTCACAGGCCTTAAGAACGCGAACAAGATTGTTGTCCTTCATCATTCGAGTGGTAGCAAAAGCGAGGGCCAGCGTAACTGCCAGAGGAAGACCCTCTGGAACAGCGACTACGACGACAGTTACGGAGGTGATAAAAAGGCGCAAAAAGGTCTGCCCCTTTTGGTCCGCCGAGTCGTGGTTGTGTGGCAACTGGACACAGAACTTGATGAACAAGACGATAAAGAGGATAAGCGCTGCGCCACCACCAAACTTGGCGATCCAATCGGCTAGAGTGTTGAGCTTCTTCTGCAACGGGGTGTCTTCCTGCTCAGTTTGCATGGCCATGGAAATTTGACCATAGCTCGAATAAACACCCACAGCGGTCACGAGAAAGGTGCCGGTTCCTTCGTTAACTTTGCTGCCAGAAATGATGAACGGATCAAGCTTGTGAATGTCCTCTCTAGGAGGCTTTCCATCGGCTACATCCTTCAGTGCAGCAAATACTTCGTCGGCGCTGGTCTTCTTCAACAAATCGGACTCGCCCGTGGCGGAAGATTCGTCGCATTTGACTCCGTGGCCGTTGATGAAAATGCCGTCGACTGGAATAAGATCGCCTGCAAACAGATGCATTACGTCGCCCACCATAACGTCGAAGACGGAAATCTCGACGGACTTTCCCGAACGAATAACCTTGACGGTGCGGTCGTTGTGTTTCTTGTTGAGCTGGTTGAACTGCCTCTCCATCTGCCAATCATTGAGTGTGCCGACCAGCACTACAATGATGATAGCCACCATGATAGCAACGCCCTCGACCCATTCCACCTTTGGTTGGCCTGGTTCATGTTTGACGCCGAAGGTCTGGTATAGACCCAGTCCCAAGGAGACAATAGCAGCAATGGTAAGCAGGATTAGAACCTTGTCGTTGTACGTAGTCCAGGCTAGCTGTAGGAGTGTCTTGCTCTTCTTCTCGGGTAATCGGTTTTCTCTGTAGACGCGGCGGCGATCCGCGTAGCTGCTCCCGGCCTTGTGGTCGAGAGGAAGTGGCTCGGGGATGGAAGCATCGTGCCTGCCTGAAGCAAAAGGCTCCTTGTCGCCATGCTGGCCGTACTGCGGGGTTCCTTGGGGAGCGACATCCTTGAAGGAGACGGTTCCTGGGACATTCTTCTCGTCGGCGCTGAGACCGGTGTCACGATTCGTTTGCAGTCCTTTCTCCAGTCCTGCCAGACCTCCTAGAGCGTAGAAAGCATCGAGGCTTTTGGGGTTAAGCAATTTTGCAAGGTGACCCGGTGTATAGGCGAACGGGTTCTTTTCGATTTTGAACAATCCTTCCTTGCCGGGATCCGCAGTTAAGGCGTCATTGACGTTTAGCTTGAAGCCTTTTTTGGGCTGTCGCAAAGGTAACGATGGTTAGCCCCCAATGTGACGCGAAGTTGATGTTGCCTCAGGACGGGAGGGTGTGCGAATGGACGCGTTAGGAGGTAAACAAACGGGACGTACCTGGTTGCCCTGCGGCGGCTCGTGGTCCGCCATGAGGGCTGATGATTTTCTATTCGATATTCAATAAATCGATACCTTGGTGGAGGTCGTGTTGAGAAAAAGGCGAAGATGAAATGAGAAAAAATGTGGGAGTAGAACACAAGGGGAGGTTTGAAGTCGGTAGCTTGCCGGTCGTTGTGTTACGGTTTTTCCAAGGAATGACGTGTTTTAGCTTGGGAAGCACAAACCACACCACTACAGGGCACGTTGGAGAACCGGGAAGGAGGCACTGTCCACCAACATGCAACTTGGGACGGAACGTAACAAAGGAATCGTGTTTGGGGAAGTGGAATTTCAAGGCGCACAGCACAGCCTAGAGGGATGCCTAACATGGAAGGGAAGAATTTGAAGCCAAATGCGGTACCGTTCACCTCCACTTCCCTAGCAAAATGGGTGACCAGAATTTCAGGCACTCGATGACATGATTGTTCAGGAGCCACATTGAAGCCTGGGTGTCTCGTGCCTTCCTTCGTTGATGTATGATAGAAAAGGCGACCGCTTTTACACCAATTTCCGCGGGGCTTGTCAAGCGGAAAGTGCATTTTGCAAAAGTGAGGCCCAACCACCAATGCCCGAGGTTCGGGAAGGCAGTGAGCTTCAAGTGTGATATCAAATTGAATCTCAAAGTTCGAGCTTGGCATTTGGTACCAGGATCCCAATCACAAGCAACTGTCAGACTCGGGGCGGGAAAAGATGACCGTTCTGGATGCATTAATGTGAGCTTGGCATCCAACTTGTTCATCTTCCGTTGGAATCCCGAATTTGTGATTCCTTCGGGTGACCCAAAACAAAGGTAACAAAAACCAGCGGGCTTTGCTAACTCGCTGAGCTACTGCAAGTTAATGCAGGAGTGCATCAACATCAGGTGTGCTGAACTTCCACTTGCTGAAAGCTTCAAGATTGCTGAGCTCGCTGAGCCCTCTTGAAGTATGTAGGTAACAACAGCTGTTTCTATCAGTCATGTTACGTACGATTGTGGGGAAGTTACCCTTCACCGTCGAAAGTTGTTAGTCAGGAGGAGGACTCACATCAGCTGCTTTCGTCCTGACTTTTTACTCAAAAGCAAGCCGGATCCAGGTTGGCATTGGTCAGGGCAATCAGGGCAAATGCGCTTGCCCCTGGTAAATGAATCAGATGCCGACGGGATGTTGGTCCTGCCTTCCTTTTGTTCCTGTTCCTCGAGAAAGGCCAAGAAGCCAAGGAGGACTGAGCGCGGAGCAAAGAGGAAACAAAGAGCCAAGTTGAAATAAGCTTCAGCTGTCGAGGGCAGGGATGTGGCTTTCTTTGACAACCAATTTGGCAATTTTGACCAATTGGAGCCATTCAATGACAGGGAATGGTCGCATCTGGACCGCTGGTCGCACTTTCTCCCCAGATCGACAATCGTGAAAACGCGGAGGAAGAGACAATTCGAGTCCGGGCCCTGGGAGGCCTCCTCCCGTCTCAATGAGATTCACTGCAGTCGCTATTGGGGAATTGTTTGGGCGCAACAGTTGGATGGCATTTCGGCGTGAATTGGAGAAGGCCAACGGCGTTGCCCTGACGTTGGACGCGCCAGCAATTGACATCTGCTGGGCTGTGCTTGCAATTGTCCGTTGGCTTGAGGCATGAGCAATTTCTTTTGACCAAGGAAACGGAAACAGAGCTTCATTCCTATGACGGTGATTGAACTGCAAGTTATCGGACTTTGAACCAAGGAAACTTGAAACTTCACATCGGTTTGAGCTGGGTGTGCCGTGCAAAATCATTCAGGTACCACCCACCCGGCGAGACAACTTGGAAGGTACGTACCTCTGATGGCTGACAACACTAGGTCCTTATCGATAGCGATAAGCCTTCCTCCCAAGTTCTCCAACGGCGTCGGGTCGCACCGCATCGTTGTCCCTGTTGTTCATCCACTTGGACATCAAGGTTCACGTTACACGGCATCAAAACCCTTCCACGAGAATTCCACCGCTGTACCCAAGATATTGACCAAAGATGTCATCGACTCATTGTAGAACATCGGTGAAAGCTTGATTGCTTGTCACCGACCGCACAGCTACCGTCAACTGCCGTTGGGAAGAGTGACGGAGTACGGACACGTGCTTCCAGAGCCGATGGGAAAGACTCTTCCGAGCTGTCATTTTCCATCCCAGGGGCAGGTTTGCTTACGGTGACTGACCGCTTTGGACAAGCGCGCCGCATACCTATTTTGAGGATGATGTCCAACTAGCACGCGCGGGATACAGTACCCGTCAAACACGCCGTGGTGGCTGTCTCCCTTTTAAGTCCCTAGGCAGAATGTTTGTATCGCCCAACACGCCAACAAAGCTTTGTTGGTGATCTGGCTAGTTGAGTGAGGCGGAATATTGAAGGGAGAGACGGTGAGTAAAAATATGCCTAACCGTTGGTATTTCATCGGAAACGGACGTTCAATGAGTTGTCGTTGCGTTGTGGAAAAAAGTGCACTTTGGCGATGTGGAAGCGGGGTGAAAGCAAGTGTACATTTGGGAATCCCGAAGGAAGAGATCACGATGATGCCCAAAGCCAAATCCCCAGCCCCAATTCAGCACATTCGATCCATCATATCTGATTATCTGTTTGAGGCTGTCATAGTTGGTTGTGCAAGGTACCAATGCATACCTCAGCAGTCGCTCGGTGGTGGCGTCCTTCATTTACAGTCCGTTCGGCGGCTGGCGGCCGTGAGCCATTCCAAGTCACGATACCCGACAACAGAGGCATAAATGCCAGCCATCTCTCAAAACTATTCAAAACACGCTTCAAAAATCGTAAGCTTGGGAGAGCAGCAAAAAGACGAGGACGATACGTGAATGAAAGGCAAAAAAAATGAAAAAAACGATGGATGCACCGCGGATCGAACGCGGGACCGTCTGTAGAGCAAGATCGTAGAAATTTCAATGCAAAACAGAAATCATACCACTAGACCATGCACCCATGGAACTTGTTATTGAGGGCTGTTCCCAGCTCCCAAGAAGGGCAAAGCTTGTCTTCTGGGACTTGGCGCTAGTAAGCTTGTGACGCATTGACCACCAACTCCCAGTTGTGCACTTCGTGATGGTCGTTTTGCGTTGAACTCTGACACAGCGACGATCCAATTGCATTTTCAATTGTTAATGTTGTAAGGTCACAAAGCGAAGGAGTGAAGAGCACATTTCAATATTTACCGTCGCCATCACGTATTGCATCGGTGTCCGAGGCTAGGTATTTTTTATTCTTCCTTCTCTATCTTGACATGCACTTTTCTTTCCTCTTTCTTCTCTCCCTTAATTTTCTGTTTCTTTTCATCCTCTTCCTCAGCTTTAATTCCCACTTTCTGGTCGCCGACCCCAGGCCTCCGCGATTCCCTCATAGATATCTGAAGCTGCAAACCACCCTCCACTTTCTTTTCCTCTTCCTCTTCCTCTTCCTCAACGACAGGCGACGGCTTGAATGCAATACACTCGTCGATGAGTTTCTGAACAGTCTGGTACTTGGAAAGCACCATTCCCGCAAAATCTTCGTCGGCCATATACGACGTCTATATGTGCAACGCAGGAACCCACTGATGTCAGCTTTTTTTTTCTGTTACCAATTATTGCCAAAGGGAGAGATGTTAGTTGTAAACGGATCTCAACCAGGTTATCTTACCACTTGTCTGTACCAGCCTCCATCGCGGCCGGGGAATCTCATCGTATTCCCCTTCGACGGTCGTTCTAGCTGCATGGCAACTCTGGCTTTGACTATATACGTATACCCACAACAATTAGTTTTCTGTCAGTCATTCCAGTCCAGTCCAAGCCACTTCCCACTTCCCATCTCCCTCCCTCCCTCCCACATCCCCATTCCTGCTGGAAGTGTTGGGTGCTGGCAGTGCTGGATGTAAAACAGTAGTACTCACGATCACTCCCCACAAGATACAACTTCGTAACCAACTCATCGATCCTCTGATAATCCGCGTGACACTCGAGCTTGCCCCTCATCTCATCGTACACGCTCTCAGCGTTGGAGCTAAGCACCCACTTGTCGAACCGGTCACGCTCGTGCTTGGCTTTGGCCTGCAGGTCGGGGAACTCGTCTAGCATTTGGGCCACGACGCTCAGGGCCCCGTGGTTCGGTAACCCCGTGGCTCGGAGCAGGTCCTTGATGGTCGGTGGCACCACTCGCTCCCTGGCAAGTCGGGTTCGGGCTAGAACTTCTGCTAGCGTTGGATATCTGTAATTTATGTCAAATTCAGCTGGTGGTGGTTGGCGGGGTGGTGGTCGCTGAGCGTCTGGGTTGAATCTGTCGTATGGACGTGGTGGTGGCGGTCGTCGGGTGGATGGGTCGGATTTGCCGGCCCCCTTTGAGGGCGGTTGTTGCCCCATGGTGTATCTCTCTGGTTGTAGTGTCTTTCTGGGGATTTGATTGAGCGGTGATGGGAGTGTTGTGTTGGGTAAGAGTAATGAGCTCTGGTAGGTCTTGTATCTTGGGGGAAATTTGGGTATTTAACTGTGCTGGGGGAGGTAGGTTCTCACATGATTCTGTTGGTCATTCGAGCGAATAGGTGAAAGAGTTTTATTCACTGTTTCCGTGGTTGATGACAATAGGAACCAGTCATAGATCCAAGCAAGCTGGGAATGGACTTGAACAACGGTTCAATAAACTCATCCTTATAGTGAACGGCTGAAGGCACAGCGTGTAGACCAGGTAGCGAAACACGTCTGCCATTTGAACATCTGTCAGTGGTGTTTGCAAGAGTCAACGCTTTGATCAAAAGACTAACTTAATTATTCACGTGAATGGATGGGGAAAGAGTCAATGGACTTGACTGAGAAGATGTTTTCGTGATGTCTGTGAGTATGACACTCTCGGAACATTACAAACTCTGTGTTTGACCCCCGTCACGGTTTGGTCATCAACACTGAAACAAGCATCCAACGCAAATCTAGCGGTTCCTTATGCTCATGTGAAACCGGGAACCAGTAGCAGGAAAAAACCTGTCGAGCTCGAAAACAGAGCCAAAAGTACTCACTAATATTCCTGAGAGGTCCAATGTTTCGAAGAGCCTCGGAATTGGCACAGTTTATCATCAAAGATCCTGTCGATGTGTCAGAGTCAGGTTTGCTGGAGTGTTGGTCAGAGAAGGGATAACGGTCGAGGCGGCGACAGTCTCCTCAATCGGCGTGCCATGAGCAAATTCCCTTCACCTGCTGTTCCCAGAAGCCCGTGCTCCCCCATTCACTCGTCATCTCGTCCGGAACACCACGCTTCCTTCCAGTCTCCTGGTCCTCTCTTACAGCGTTTCACATCCGGCACTCGTTAACAAACGAGAGGTCAACGGTCTGGTTTGGAAGCGCTTCATCAACGCAAACCCGAGAATTGTCCACCCACTCACGAGAAGCATCGCGATTAAGACCTTGTCCGTCCGCGCCGTCGCATCACTGAAGAACCTTCAAACCTCGGAAGTCAAAGTACAAAGGCACACTTTCCACCTGCCCAGGTTTGCATCTTCTCACTCAAAACCGATTGCCAATCTCGCCATTCTCACACCTACCCCACCAAGCATCAAGAACATGCGCGCCCGCCCAACCATCACGTCCGCCAGGACGGTGCACCTTCTTGGCTTCCTGGCTTCCCTTGCTCATGCCCTTACCCAAAGCCAGGATACACCTTCATTCAATACCTCCACGACATCCATGATCTCGGGATACACGCACCTCAAGCCATCTCTCCTCCACAACCCAGTCTACACACCTACAGTCAACATCATCCAAGCCGAGCGCAATGACCAAGATGCAGACATCACCACCGAAACCGTCGTCTCGACCGTCATCATCCCCACCGCCACCGAGCTAGTCACCATCGTCACTACCCCTTCCGCCGGTAGCTCTTCTGCTTCCACTTCCTCTACCACACCTCAGCCCGCGGAGCCCAGCCCCGATTGCGTCCCCCAAGGAGGAAAAGACGGCAAAGTCTGCGTCACCGTCGTACCCATCTGGCCGACCGACACTCTCGCCCCCGCCGTCAAGGAAAAGAGACAGGCCGTTACCACCTCCACCTCCACCTCCAGACCAATCTCCTACAAATCCACAGTCACAGAAGTTTCCTACGTCGTAGTCCCAGGGATTAAAACGGTGACGGACCTCTTGACGGCCGTCATCGATGCTTCCACGACGTATACTCTCACCGGGCCGCGAACCATTGCCAATGGCAATGGCACGATCTCCGATCCGGCTTGTACGCCAACTGACACCTTTGCAACCATTACCACAACCATGTCCACATCTCAAGAAGTAGAAACTACCTGCACAATGCCCTCATCCCTCATCAACGGACATTGCACCTACAACTCTCAAGCCGGGTGGAACCCAGCTGGTGAAGTTCCGACTGAGAGGCCAGATGAGGATCATGGACCTATGCATCCTGTGACGGCCAGGGCTGTGGAGACTGGTTCCGTGGAGGCATTGGCAGCAGAGATGGGTCAGTCGGAGCAGGACAACGAGAAGGAGCAGAAGGAGGAGGACTCTGGGCACTCTGGGCACTCTGGGCAAGAAGTAAGGAAGAGAGATATCGAAACCAATCACTGGTTGGTGCCGCTTCTGGTGTGCCTGTGGTTCGGGGCTATGTTCACGGTTGGAACTTGGATGGTCAGGAGGATTATGAATAAAAATAAGAAAAGGCAACAGGGGGAAGTAGCGTAAGGTTACCATAGATCGTGGATGTATGTGCTCGGGCTACTAAGAAAGGGAAAGTTGTAGGTAGGGAAAAGGTGGAATTGACGGAGATGTAAAGGGAGGTAGCATGCATACTGTAGAAAACGATAATGAGTCAAAATCATTGAAAAACAAGGACTGGGGTGGTGCATGCATGTATTTGTTCCATTTATCCAAGAAGACATGGACAGAGACCGCTGCAGGGTCCATCTACTATCTCTCTGTCTCTTGGAAAGTTTAGAAAGGCCACCAACTAGCCGGCGTCCTCTTCACCACAAACGCTCCGCGATCCATCGTGTTAATAACAATATACCCACTCGGGAAGAAAGGATAATGCGACCACGTCCCCGTAAACGTGACATTTCCTCCACCGGGCGCATTATCGTCCTCAGGGTGGACATCAAAGTAGGCAACCTCCTTGATCCTCTTTCCAGACGGGTCAAACGGAATGCTCCTCAAGTCCAAAATGCTCAATCCCAAGCCGTAGTTGCTCTGGTACGAAAAGCCATCCTTGACGAACTGGTTGTGGTCAATACCACGGCGCAAGCCCTTGTAATGGCCCGTCTGCTTGGGCTTCTCGAGAGAGGAGATGTCCCAGATGTAGGTGATGGGGTATCCGTCGGCACCTAAGCCGGTGGCGTCGTACTCGTCGTACTCGTCGTCGAGGATTAGGTATTGTTGCCACTTGGGGTCGAGGACCCAGCCTTGGTGGGTGTAGGCGGCGCCTTCGTACGAGGTGTTGGAGATGATGCGGATGTTTTGTTTGTCGGTTACATCGAAGCTGTTTTGTTCGTTAGCATTCTGCCGTGAAAACTTGAAACGAGTTGGGAAAGAGGTGGGGAAAGGGGGGATGAAAAAAAGGGGGACTAACATGGTAAGGGAATCCTCATCATATCCATAGCAAATATCCTTGCCATAATACTTCAAATCGGGTCCCCTGTAAACAATGCACTGCGCATCATGGACATAACCATCCGCACCACTACCACCCAGCGTCTTGGGGTTCTTGGGATCCGTCAAGTCAAAGAAGACCAATCCGGCGCGAAGGGGCCCGGTTCGCGGCTGGAACCCGACAGCAACGCCGTACTTCTTCTCCTCGTTCGTCACCACGTTGTGCGACCTGCCCACGGGCAAACCCTCGTTCCACCACCCATCGAGATCCTTCTCGTTGGAGAAAACTTTGGGGTTCTTGGGGTCAACGTTCTGCAGCTTGGCCAAGTCGAAAATCTGCACGCCGTGGTTGACAGCCTCGGAGCCGATCAG